TTGTGAAGCCTATCATTTTCACATGCTCTGATTGGGTACGTTATTCTGGGGCTGACACTGAGTCATTGATAGGCACATTGATGGCATTCACTGCCCCTGCTGGCTCGCGTTGCTGGTGTCGTTTGGCTCGTTGTGCCCTATTTTGTCGATCTCATCCCAGGTGAGAAAGCTTTAATTTAGTAATTTAATTCAATAAAGAATTATCGTAATTTAATATTGATTCTTAGGTTTTTCTTGCAGAGTTGCAACTCCTCATTCCTCTAATTCCTAATTTATTCTTTTTGTAAAATTTCTAAATCATGTCCGGATTGGAAAGAAGCAGTTCTTATGAAGTAAGGGAACATTACGAATCTAGGAAAAACACTCCATCGTCTTCTTCAGGTAGTTTTCACAATATTGTTGAAATCCATTTTTTTCTGTGCCCTCCCTCCCCCTCCCAAAGATTAGCAGCAGCTCAAACCCAAACGTCGTATATGGCTCGTAAAAACCTCTTTACCCTGCCAGAAAACCATCGTCATCGAAAAAATGTTAATCCTCTTCTGGCGAAAATTTTTTTTTGCCTGACTTTTCGCTCCAAATCCGCGGTTTCGAAACGAACTCACTCTGTACTCTGGGCTAGAGAATGAGTTGTCTATGCTTGCGCTGGGGCTTACGGGGGCCAGTGTCCCCTCCTCACCGCCCCCGGAATCATCCCCGCACAGTTTGTTCGAGTATTTAGCTACCGACTCGTCCGAGGTGGTTGGCAGTCTTGGCAGTGTTGTGATGCTGACCTCATCCTAGTTGATAATTTCTATTTTTCTCACATTTTGTTCTTTGTGAATTTGTTAGGCTGCAGGGATTTTTCCATATTTTTTGAAATATTTGAATAATTTTTCGGGATTTTTTATGCTTGCTTTGATGATGTCAAGAAATTGCCAGTGAGTTTATAAGAAAATTAAAGGGTGTAGACAATTGTTGTATCCTTTCACGTAAACAGAAAAGGCGAGCGTGTATAATTACTTATTCAATTTTGGGCTTCATAAGTAAAGGTTTCCTTAGCATAAATTACACTCATTTTTCTGTTGGCAAAATCTGTCTTTCAAAAATTTGTTCATTTTATGCTCATGAAGGTCCCAAAAATTGCTCTATAAAATGATACATTTTCAATCAATCTTTCAAAACCATATTGATTGCGGCACAACGCCCATTTTACTAATTTGCATTTGTAGTGGCATCTCTTGATTTATGCACATCATTTGCTATGAACGCTTTCCTGCTATTTTTGAATGATTTTGATGTGCATTTCGAATGAAGTAGAGTCAATTTGAATCGAGCACGAGAGGGGAGGGAGGCAGGGACAGACGGAGTTTCTTGGATATCCGATACTCAAACTCGGAAAAAAAGACGATTTTGTAGGATTGCGAAGCGCTGTGTAAAACGGCTAAGGTTTGAAAAAACATTCTTCAGGAAGATTGTTGAGCAATATTGTTTATCCTCATTTACTTGTCTTATTCTTTATATGGCTGCTACAGCTATACGAATCTTAAGAGAAAAAGAAAGCACGTTTCTGGCTACTGAAAAATCTTGCCGTTTTTCAAAAATTATATTCCTATTTCTTGAAGGTCCATGGGCGGAGGATGTCTGAGAAAGCTGTTTTCTGCACAATACTTTCCCATTGCAGATATGGATCGTCGCTTTCACTTGTCTCCATTCTCTCCTCTAAATTTCCACAGTCGCTTTTTCGACGATTTCGACTTTGATCGCGGCTTTAGCAGACCATATTGGCACGATCAATCGATGTTGACAGGACACAAGATCGGCGAGGGCGTTGATGTCAGCAAATGCACTATTTTGACACTATTACAAGCTCTATGTATTGCAGGTTATCGACAATGACAAAGAGTACGCAGTTTCTGTCGATGTGTCGCAATTCGAGCCGGAAGAATTGACGGTATGTGGCAGAAATCACGTAAT